TTAAAAAAAAAAAAAAAAAAAAAAAAAAGTAACTTTCGGGGGGATTAAAAAAAAAAAAAAAAAACGTTCGAAACAAAATTGCGCCCATACATTAATGATGTTATCTCGTTTATCTCAACTTTAAACGAATAACAAAGAAGAATTATTACGCCCAATTTAGATAGACAAAAAATTTATGATTTTCATTATCATTTGCAACAACAACAACAACAACAAAAAGATCAAAAATCAAATAACCATCATCATCATCATTATTGCTCAGTGAACAAAAAGGTATTCAAATATATTCATATTATACCTGAGTGATATTCAATTCAATTGATTGTGAATCGATTAAATTATCAATGTCATTGTCATTTTGATAAAATTTATCATCATTGTTGTTGATGATTATCTTTTTTTTTGTATTCAGTTTGTTTTCTCCAATATCATTCATTCATTCATTCATTCAGTGTGTTTTTTCCCCCACTACAAATCACATCATTTGTGTTTAGTTTGATGTTTATTAATCGATTTATTCGATCAATAAAAGAAAGAATAATTTCCGATTCCAATTTTGCTGTTTGATTTTTGTTGTTGTTGTTGTTTGTTTGTTTGTTAAGCGATCATCATTTTTGTGTTGTTTGTTTTGAAGTCGAAAAAATTGATGGAGTTTTTTTTTGACAAAAAAATTTAATGATGTTTGCTTTTTGATGATTGATGTCGTCGGTATGTTTGTTTGTTTGTTTGATTGACTTTTTTCCTCTTCAGGTTTCCTAAAAAGCAAATATATTCATCATTTAGATAATATATATTTCTTGTTGTAAGGTGTTTTTTTGATTATCAATTATTATCGATTTATGGTGAAAATTTTCTAATTTTTTTTTCTTCTTCTAATTTTTCCTTTATAGAAAATAAATATCAATTTTATTCATTGAAGAAAAGCGTGGATCAAATCAATAAAGATGGAAAATCATAAAAAAAATTATTCATCACATGATGAAAGTGCTTATATATTTGAAAAAAAACGTATCGTTCAACTACATGAAGAACGTATTAAAGTACAGAAAAAAACATTTACAAAATGGATGAATTCATTTATACAAAAGGTATTTGAATTTTTTTTGTTGAAATGAATGTTTTTTTTAAATTATAAGAATTTTTTCTTCTTCACTTTTTTTCCTAGGCCAAATTAGAAGTTGATGATATATTTGTTGATCTTGCTGATGGTAAAAAATTATTAAAACTTTTGGAAATAATTAGTGGTGAAAAACTTGGCAAACCAAATAATGGAAAATTACGTGTACAAAAAATTGAAAATGTTAATAAATGTTTAGCATTTTTACATACTAAAGTTAAATTGGAAAGTATTGGTGCCGAAGATATTGTCGATGGAAATAAAACATTAATTTTAGGTCTACTTTGGACAATAATTTTACGTTTTCAAATTCAAGATATTGAAATACAATTGGAAGAAAATACCGATAAAAAACATTCAGCCAAAGAAGCATTATTATTATGGTGTCAACGTAAAACTAATGGCTATCCTAATGCAAAAGTTACAGATTTTACACAAAGTTGGCGTAATGGAATGGCATTCAATGCTTTAATTCATTCACATCGTCCTGAATTGATTAATTATGAACAATTAGATCCAAAAAATTCAATAGAAAATCTAAATAATGCTTTCAAAATTGCTCAAGAAAATCTTGCCATACAACCATTATTAGATCCTGAAGATGTTGATACAGAAAAACCGGATGAAAAATCTATTTTAACTTATGTATCATCATATTATCATACATTTGCCAAATATAATTCTGAACTTATTAGTGGTAAACGTATAACAAATATTATATCACAATTAATGGAAATTGATCGTCTTCAATTGAATTATGAACTTTTGACAACTAATCTTCTCAATTGGATTCAAATGAAAATTCATCAATTAGATAAACGTGAATCATTTGCCAATTTAGATCAAATTCAACATGAATTTGCTCGTTTCAAAGACTATAGAACAGTAGAAAAACCGCCAAAATATCGTGAACGTAGTGAAATTGAAGCTTTATTGTTCAATATTCAAACCAAACGAAAAGCATTGGGTCAGGTTTTATATTTACCACCGGAAGGAAAATTAATCCAAGATATTCATAAAAGTTGGATAGATCTGGAAAAAGCTGAACATCGACATGAATTAAAATTACGTGAAGAAATGCGACGTTTAGAACAAATAAACAATATGGCTGATAGTTTTTATCGAAAATGTAATATTCGTAAAAGTTATCTTGATGAAATGATACAAGTATTAAGCGATGTTCGTTATGGAAATAATCTAAGTCAAGTTGAAGCAACTATTAAAAAACATGAAGCAATTTCTGCTGATATTTTATCAAGAAAAGAACGTATCGATTCATTGCAACAAATGACTGTTGAATTGAAAAATGAAAATTATTTTTTCATTGATAAAGTGGAAAATTTTTTCCAGGAAATAAAAATTTCATGGGATAAATTAATATCAATATTGGAAATGCATCAGAAAAATCTATCAACTGCATCAAATTTTATGCGTACAAAATCTGAAATCGAAACAATTGTTAATGAATTTTTAGATCTTATCAAACGTATTAATATTGATTCAAATGTTACTCATCTGCGTACAGCTGAAGAATATTTACAAACACATACATTATTGGAAGCACAAATTGCATCAAATGATGAAACAGTAAAACGTTTAACTAATAATGCTAATAAATTATTAGAACAAGAACAAATTCAACAATCATTATTGTTACAAAAAGAGATACCAAATCTACAGGAAAGTTTACATTCATTACAAAAATTACATGAAACATTAAAACAACAATCATTGATAAAACGAAAAAAATTGATTAAACTACGTGATTTTTATCGTTTGCTACAAGATATTGAAGAAGAAGAAACAACATTAGCTGATAAATTAAATATTTGTCAGGCAATATTACCGGGTAAAGATTTATTGGGTGTAATTTCTTTACAACAAAAACATAATGTTTTTGAAGCCGAAATTAAAGCACATGATGGTAGAATTAAGATAATAGAAAAGAAAGCACAAATTTTTATGGAAAATGATTCAATGGAAAAGAAAATTATTGAAGATAAATTAGAAGCATTATATGAAATTTGGAAAAGATTACAAGAAATAAGTGCTACAAAATCAAAAGAATTGGCTATAATTATTGAAGCATTTCAATATTATTCAGATGCAAATGAAACAGAATCATGGTTGAAAGAAAAAATTCATCTAGCTAAATCCGAAGATTATGGTAATGATGAACAAACTGCCCAGGCATTACTTAAACGACATAATTTTCTTGAAAGTGAAATTATGTCATATTCAAATGAAGTTGAACGTTTAAATATTCAATCGGAAAAAATGATCAATTCAGATGTAGAAAGTTTATTTCTTTTGGGTTCACAACAATTTTCATTTGATAATAATTCGATTGATAATGAACAATCAACGATCGATGAAATCAATGATGAAACTGAAACGACAGAAATTTCCGAAAAAATACCTCAAGTTTATGTGATTTATGATTATGCAACAGAAAATTTTCATGTAAAAAAAGGTGATATTTTAATTTTGATTGCCAAAACTACACCGGATTGGTGGAAAGTTTGTTTCGAAGGGATGACTGATCAATTTTATGTGCCATCAAATTATGTCAAAGAAATTGAACCGAAAATCATAAATCGAAAACAGATTGAAAAACCATTACAACAACAACAAAGAAAACTTTCTTCTATAGTCAAAAGACGTCATAGTAAACGTAGATTATCAATTGTTTATGGTGCTGATACTGTTGAACAAAGACGATTATTAATAAATACAAATTATAAAAGATTAATTGATCTTTGTAAGATACGAAGAAAATCATTAGAAGAATCGATAAAAATGTTTTGTTTTAATAGTGAATGTGATTCGTTTGAAAATTGGTTGAATGATATGGAAAATACAATTGAAAAATCAATGAACGTAAAAAAAGAACAACAACAACAAAATTCTAAAACACAATCAAATGATTTAAGTAAACAATTTGAAAAAATGATTACCGATTTATTAGCTAATCGTTCACGTTTGGATGAAATTAATCGAATGGCTAATGAAATGAATTCACCAATGTATATGTCGATAATGAAAAAACGTAAAGAACAAATTCAAAAAAAATGGGATCAAGTGAATTTTCTACAAAAACAATTGGGTAAAAATATTGAAGGTTTAACATCGGTTGAAGTATTTGATTCGGCATGTACTGAAACACTTGAACGTATAAATGATAAATTGGAAAAAATAAATGATTATTATTATTTGGATGTTGGTCAAGATTTAAAAACAGCACAAGCATTACAAAGAAAACATGATAATCTTGAATTAGAATTAATACCGATAACAGATTCATTGAAAAAATTGAATATAATTTCGGAAAATGTAAAATCATCATATCCATTGGAAAAATCAAGAGTTGATAAACGTTTAGCTGAATTGAAACAATTATGGGAACAATTGAAAAAATGTTCGGATGAAAAACGTAGCTGGTTGGATAAAATGATTGGTTTACAAATTATTAAAAATTCATCCAACGATATTAATGCATGGCTTAATGGTTATGCAAAACAATTGTTACAATATGATCGAATGGATCCATCATTTAAAAATGTTGAAAGTTTGGAAACAATTACTAAAGAACATAATGATCTTTTAGTTGATATAAAAGGTAAACATAATGATATTGAAGATTTAAAAAATTTAGCAGAAAAATTAAAAAATCAAATCGATCCAAATGAATTGAAAATTGTTGATGAAATGTCGGAAAAATATGATCAAATCTACCAGGAATGGAATGAAAAAACAAATTTTCTTCGTCAATGTTCGGAATTGAATTGTTTTAATCAGGAAGCTGATCGTATTGAAACTATTATCGGATCGGATTTAACATTTTTAGAATTTGATGATATTGGTAATAGTTGTCAAGATATTTATGCATTAATCAAAAGACATGAAAGATTTTTGGATACACTGAATGCACAAGATCAACGTATATATAATTTTATTGATTTTGGTGATAAATTAATTCAGAATAATAATTTTGAAATTGATTTGATCAAAGAACGACAGAAAAAAATTATTGAACGTCGTAAAATGCTTAAAGATAAAGCATTTTTAAGACAAAAATTATTGAATGATGCACGAATGTATCATGAAATTAAAAATGATGCTGAAGAATTTTTAAATTGGTGCCAAAACAAACAGAAAAATGTTAAAGATCTTTTTGATGGAAAAGAAATTATTAAAAATGATGCGGATATTGAAAGAAAAATGAAAAAACATCAAACATTAGCTGCAGAAATACGTGCACATCGTATTCAAATGGAAAAAATTCTTAATAATCTTGATGATTTGAATAAAAATTCACATTTAATTTCTACAAATGAATTGGATGAAATTGAACAAAAAGTTAAAAATGAATGGATCGATTTGAATAATCTTATTGAAAATAATGAAAAATTAATGTGTCAAATTTCAAGAAAAATGGAAAGAAAAAAATCATTTCAAACAATGCAAAATCGTTTTGATGAAATTCAATCCGGTATCAATTTGGATGAATTACCAATTGATCGAAGAACTTGTAAAAAACTTTTACAAAAAAATAAATTAATTGAAAAAGAATTATCAACATTGGAAAATAAAGTAAACAATATGAAAAATGATAAACAAACGATTGATGATGATGATCAAACTGATGGTAAAACCGATAATCATCATCAACAATATTCTGATGAAAATGATCATGATTATAATGAATTAAAAACAACGATATTGAAGCTAAAAGATCCATTGAATAAACGAAATCAACAATTATTACAATTGAATGAATATTTTCAATTTGAATATGATGCTAATGCAGAACTGCAATGGATTAAAGATCGAATAATAATTGTATCATCGAATGATGTACCACAAAATCTAACTGATGCACAAAATTGGTTAAAAAAATTGGAACAAAATTTAAAAAATGAAATCAATACACATGAAAATCATGTTATGAAAATTCTTGATCAAGCCAAAGAATTTATTCAACAGAATCATCTGGAAAGTGATAAAATAAATAAAATATCAGAAGATTTGAATACAAATTGGAATCAATTGATACAATTAACCGAAAATCGAATTGAAAAATTAAAAATCTATCTAAAAATTCGTCAATTTTTATCAGATTGTAATGAAATTGAATTATGGCTGAATGATAAAATGAATATTTTAAATAATCCAATTTATGGTAATGATGAAATAACATTGATAAAATTATTACAAAAACAAAAATCAATGGATCTTGAAATTGATGCTTATTCTGGTCTTATCGATGAACTAGTACGACAATCAGAAGATTTAAGTTTATCAGTAAAAAATGAACCAGAACAAAAATTATTGAAACAACGTGCACAAGATTTAAATGTACAATTGAAAAAGATACAAAAATTATCGAATGAACGTAATCTAAAATTGATTGATTTAAAACAATTTTATGAATATTATCAAGAAAGTAATGATTTTTTAGAATGGTTAAAGAAAAAACAACAAATTTTACTTAATGAAGATTATGGTAAAGATTATGAACATTGTATTATATTACAGGCAAAATTTTTCGATCTAAAACGTTTAATTTTAGCCAATGAAGAACTGTATAAACAATGTATGGAAAATTCAAAACGTTTTATTGTACGAAATTCGGAATCTGATCAATCAACAACAACAATCGATAATAATAATAGTGAAACAATTGAAACAATATGGCAAGATTTAATGAATCTTTTACAAACTAAAGAACAAAAATTTATTGCAGCAGTAAAAATACATCGATTTAATCGTGATGTTGCCGATGCTTATGAAAGAATACATGAAAAATATTCATTTATTAATAATCAAGATTATGGTCGTGATTGTCAAACAACACAGAATCTGATACGTAATCATGATGTATTTGAAAATGATTTGGTTGCATTAGAAGCACAATTACAAATTTTAATTAATGATAGTGTTAAATTAAAACAAGCTTATCCGGGTGGTAATGCTAAACAAATTGGTGAAAAACTTAAATCAGTTCTGGATTATTGGGAAAAACTTAAAGATTTAAGTACATTTCGACGACAAAAATTATGTGATACATATGAATTTTATCAATTTGTTTCGATTGTACGAAATCTTGAACAATGGTCAACAAATCTGATTAATGAAATGAAAATTGATGATGAACAAATTAAAAATGAATTGAATAAAAATTCATTCATATTCCCCGTTGATAAAGCACAGAATGCTAAAAATGTTCATGAAAGAATTAAATCCGAAATTGATTCACGTGAAAATGAATTTAATATTTTAGTTAAAGATGCAAATAAATTGGTAAAAAATCCATTTTATAATCAAATTAAAGAACAAACAGAAAAATTATTGAATATACGTGATCAACTTTATAATATATGGCAAATAAAAGATGTAACATTAGATCAATTAGTTGATTATTGTATATTTATTCGTGATTTAAAACAATTAGAACAATTATGTCAACAATTTAAAAATCGTTTAGAAACATTTGAAACAGAACAAGAACAACAAACAGCTGAAGAAGTGAATAGAAATCTTAAAAAATTTAATGAATTTATTAAATTATTTGAATCACATGAACAAAAATTTAATGGATTAAAAGAATGTGCAACAAAATTATTGGAAAAAAATAATAATCATTCGGATCAAATACAAATCTGTTTAGAAGATTTATTAACAAAAAAAACAAAATTATGGCAAATAATTTTATCCAAAAAAGATCAACTATCAGATGATTTAATTTTTGCACAATTTCAACGTGATATAATTGAAACTGATTCATGGATTGATGAAAAACGTATTCAAATTGAACAAATTTCATTACGTGATAAACATAATGATGATATTGAAATAAAATTAAAAAAATTACAAAAACAACAAGCACTTGAAGCTGAAATTAATGTCAATACTGAACGTATAACAGCCATACAAAATAAAGCAAAACATTTAATTACAAAAAATCATCATCATTCAATACAGATTCGTTCACAATTGGATGATATTTTAAAAAAATGGGAAGAATTAAAATTATTAAGTCGAAATATTTGTGAAGGATTTGAAGAAGCTAAAGATATTTATGAATTTAATAAAAATGTTGATTTAGTTGAATCATGGATTCGTGAAAAAGAATTAATGATACAATTCAATGATACTGGTGAAGATTTTGAACATTGTCAAGCATTATTGAAAAAATTGGATGATGTTGGTACCGGTTTAAAGGTGGATGAAGATGAAATTCATCAAATCAATCATTTAGCTGATAAATTATTAAATCAATGTAAAAATGAAAATCAAATTGATGAAAAACGATTATCATTGAATGAAAAATGGAAACAATTACAGGAAAAAATTGCCAATTATCGACAAAGATTAATCAATGCATTGGAAATTCATTCACTCAATAGAGATCTTGATGAAATCAATGAACGTGTAATGGAAAAACATTTACTTGCATCAAAAGAATGTGATGCTAAAGATTTATCATTAGCGGAAAATGAACAACGAAAACATGTATCACTTTGTTATGATATTTATGGTATTGAAAATCATTTTAAAAATATTAATGATAATGATGTACGAAGATTGATTGGTCGAAATCCTGAACTAATGGAAAAATCACGTACAAAAATTCAAACAATTCAAGAAAATTTAAGAAAATTATCACAAGAATGTAGTAATAAAGATGAAAAATTACAATTTGCAATAAAATTGAATAAATTTTTTGATTCAATCAAAGAATATGAAAATTGGGCAAACAATATTTTAGCGGAAAAATTATCGAAAACATTTACATCGGAAAATATTTCACAAGCTGAAATTGAACTGCAAGATCATGAATATATTAAAGATGAATTAATTTCACGAAAACAAAACAATAAAAATCTAAAAGAATATGGATTAAGTTTGTTACAAGAATTGAAACAAAATGAAAATGAAAATCAATTACAAATACAAAAAGTACAAGAATGCATTGACAAAAATGATGAATTACAACGTCAATTAGATCAAGCTTGGGATGATAAATGTAATTATTTAAAACAATGTAAACAATTACATAAATTTAATGATCTTTACAAACAATCGGATTCATGGTTAACATTGAAAGAAGCATTTCTTACCAATGAAGATCTTGGTTCAAATTTGATAGCTGTTGAAGATTTACTTAAAAAACATGATTCATTTGTTCAATCGTTTGCTGGACAACAACGAATAATTGAACTATCAACATTTGCTCAAGAACTTATTGAACAAAAACATTTTGATTTGCATAATATTCAAATGAAAAATGGTGAAATTTTGGAAAGACGAGATAAACTTTTTGAATTGGCAAAAATTCGAAAAAATAAACTAGAAAATTCTAAACTTTATTTTAAATTTTTACAAAGTTATAATGAAATTTATGGTTGGCTTGTTGAGAAAATCAAAGTTGCCAATGATGAATCATATCGTGAATCAATCAATTTGTTATCGAAAAAACAAAAACATGCAGCATTTGAAGCTGAAATCAATTCGAATAAAGAACGAATCGATGAATTATTAAATGAAGGTGATGCCCTCATTAATAATTCACATTTTCGTTCGGAAGAAATTAAAATTAATTTGGATAATATTAAAAAATTAAATCGTCAATTGAATGAAAGTACTGCATTCAAACGTAATCGTCTGAATGAAGCCTATCAAGCATTACAATTTTTTCGTCTTTGCGATGTTCTTTCATCTTGGATCAAAGATATTGAAGCAATTCTAAACGATAAGGATAATGGTAAAGATTTATCTAGTGTACGTAATTTATTGAAAAAACATGAATTACTTGAAAATGATGTTCATAATCATAATGAAAATGTTGAAAATATTAAAGATCAATTGGCACATTTTCAACAAAATAATCATTTTCAAATTGATGAAATTGAAGAAAAAGGTTAGTTTTTAAAACAAAGTTTTGATAAATCCAAAAATCTTAATTTTTTTTAAATAAAAATCTAGGTAATCAAGTTATCAAACGTTTTAATGATATACAAAAACCAATTGATCGTCGTCGTGAAATACTTGAAGATTATCATACATTTTTTCAATTCAAAAATGATGTTGAACATGAATTTTTTTGGATCAAAGAAAAAGAAAATCAATTAAAACAATTTGATAATACTAATTCTGTATTGGATATACAACGATTGATAAAACGTCATAAAATGTTAGAATCAGAAATTCAAACAAGAGAAATTCAATTAAGTGCACTTGTTTCAAAAGGACATAGCCTATTAAAAGCTGAAGGATCTAATCTGGAAGATATAAAATTTTTAACAAATGAACTGCAGAAAAAAATACAATATCTAAAAGATGCTTTTGCTTTGAAACGAATGCATTTGATTGATTCATTGGAATCACATCAATTTTATTCGGATGTTGTTGAAGCTGAAAGCTGGATCAATGAAAAAAATTCCTTTTTATTGAATGATGATAATGGTCGTGATGAAGAATCTGTATCAATGTTGTTGAAAAGATTAGAAGCTATAAGCAATGAATCTGAACGTTTTAATTCCAATTCGATGGCTAAATTGATTCAGCAATCGAATCAATTGATAGACAAAAATCATAGTGAAAGTAATGAAATCAAACAAAAATTAGATGGTCTTGTTGAAAAATTTAATCAATTTTCTGAAGAAATAAAAAAGAAAAGACAAACTCTATCACAACGTAGCTTATATTTTTCATTTGAACGTGAAGCTGATGAATTAATTTCATGGATTAAAGATCAACAAATTATTGCAAATTCTGAAGATTATGGTCAAGATGTTGAACATATTGAAAGTCTTATTCAACAATTCAATACATTTATTTCATTTATTATGTCGAATGAAGAACGTGTAAAAATATTGGAAAAACAAGCTGAAAATGTTCAAAATTCGGAAGAAAAATTAAAAGAAATACAATCTTCATGGAATCAATTGAAAAAAATGGCTGCTCATCGACAAGAACTGTTACAAAGTGCTGAAGAAGTTCATCGTTTTTGTCGTAGTGCTGATGAAACTGTTTCATGGATACGTGAAAAAGAATCAAGTACTATTTTTGATGAAGTTAATTCAAAATTTGATGATATCAATACGATTAAAGCGAAAATTCATAAACTAGAAGGATTTGAACATGATTTGAATGCTGTTCGTGAACAAGTAGAAACATTATATGTTGAAGCAGATAAATTAATCGATTCATTTGATAATGTTAAAGAACAGATTCAAGAACGTAAAAATGAAGTAAAAGAAGTTTGGGATGATCTTAATATGAAAACCAAATTACATAAAGCAAATTTAATACAAATTGAAAATAGTCAATCATATTTTGATCAATGTATGGAATTATTAACATGGATCAATGAAATGCAAGCATTAATAACGGCTGATGATAAACTTGTTACGGATGTTATGGCAGCTGAACAACAACTTGACAGACATCAAGAATATGAAACAGAAATTAAATTGAAAAATAAAAATGTTGAAGAAATTCTGGCCACTGGTAAAAGAATTATTTCAGAAGGACATATAATGTCTAAAGAAATCGAACAACGTAATGAAAGAATGAAAAATGCTTATGATAATTTGGTTTTAACATGGCAAAAAAGATTAACTTTATATGAATATAATGTTGATGCAAGGCATTTTGTTCGTGATGTTGAACAAATGGAAAAATGGATTAATGCTAATCATAATTATATTGATGATAATAATTTTGGTGATTCAATTAGCGATGTTGAAGAATTATTAATAAAACATGAAGAATTTGAAAAAACAATTACAACACAATTGGAAAAATTGAATAAAATTGAAAGAATAACATTGATGGAAAAATATTTTGAAAATCTTAAACGTGAAGAAGAACAACAAAAAGCAGCTGAATTATTAAGACAAGAAAAAGAAAAAAGAATGGAAGAAGAACAGAAACGTATACTTTTCCGTCGTAGTGATGAAGAATCAAAATATTATGAAAACAATGCAAATAAAAGTAAATTAATGTCATCAAAACAATCATCATCATCAACGAAAACACCACGAAGATATGCAAGTTTTTCGTTTGTGAAAAAATATCCAAAAATCAAACCACTTACACCGAATTTACCGCAATTTTCCTGTAAAGGAATGTTGGAACGTAAACATCTTTTTGAATCGGGTGGAAAAAAAGCTGAATCTCGAACATGGAAAACTTATTACACTGTTCTTTGTGGTCATCTATTATGTTTTTTTAAAGATAAAAATGCTTTCAATAAAAATTCAGCAGCTTCAGCACCACTTTCCATATTAAATGCTAAATGTGAAAAAATTGAATATAAACAGAAAAAACATGTTTTCAGTATTGAAATGACAAATATGTGTAAATATTTGTTTATAACCAGTGATGAAGATAGACTTCGTGAATGGATTAGTGCTATTACTTTTCGTGCATCACTTCCACCATCTGATCAATTGATTGATTATAAAAATTTTGTACCATCACAACAATCATCAACCGATTTAATTGGTTCATCACAAAATGGTGGTGCTAATAATGTTTCAGATAGTTCTTCATCAAGCCATAAATCATCATTAACATCATTGCCTGATATTCATTCAACAAATCATGAAAATTCACCACAATCACTTAATCAACAACAAATCGATAACAAATCTAATAATAATAATGAACAAAATAATTTAAATGTTGATACAAATTCATCTGATGATAAATCATACTGTAAGTAATGATGAAATAATTGATTACATTTGACTAATTGCTTTTTTTTTATTTATTCAGTTCCATCACCCGAAACATCAAGACCAAAAATCAATAAATATGGCAGTTTACCGGCTAATATGATGCCCATAAAAGAAGATTCAATTTATGCTAAAAATGATCATCCAATTGGATTACCAACCATGAAAAGTTTCGATCAAGATGATATTGGAAGTTTGAATAATGAAAAAACAAAAAAGAAACGTCGAAGTTTTTTTAAACGTAGTCGATAGAAGAAGAAGAAAAAAATTCATCGATAATCATCATTGTTATAACGAAGAGATATTTATTAAATAAATCATTTTATTATTTTTGAAAATTTACAAACATTTCATTACAAATATAACATTTTCATTTTTTATACAATAAAATATCAATCAAATCAATTTAAAAGATTTTGTTCAATAATTGATTTAATTCTATCCAATACAATCATATTTGATGATTTACAATCATTCAATGTATATGGTGGATCAATACAAACATAATATGCAGCAATTAATGTTTGATCAATTTCTTCAACGGGAACATTATTTTTTGCAAAAATATCCAACAATTTTTGACGACTATTTTTCATATTTTCATCCGTATCATCGATTTCATTGGGATTTACATTTGATATCTGGAAAAATTTATCACAAAATTTTTGAAAATTTTGATTGAAAATTTCATCACAATTTGCTATAGGTTTTATTGATTTGATTGAATGATAAAAAATCATTAAAATTTGATCAATATCATCATTATTGTAGATAAGAATAGTCAAAGTAACAGGATCAATATTGATCATAAAACCTTGATATCGATGTTTATTAGTTTCAATTTCAATTTTTTTATTGATTAATTCGAATAAAGAATGTCGAATTTTTTGTAATTCAAACATTTTTCCAAAAAAACCACGGATCGATGTATTTTCATCAAAAAAAAAAAAAAAAATCTATATTCACATTAAAAGTCGGTACATGTAGAAATAGTCAGTGGATAAACATGCTCGATTCAATAATGCACATTGAAACGAATTGGAAACCAAGAAATGTGTGCCTGCATGCATGCTTTTTATCATTTCCTATCAAACACTTGTCGAGGTGAGTTGTATGTTTGGTTGTTTTATTTCCAAAAAATCCAAACATTTTTTTTTCTTATGATGATTTTTTTGGCTAGAGTAATGATCATTTAAATGATTAATATTTTCAAAGATTATTTGTCCCAATAAACTGAAAATTATTGTGTTTCAAATAACATTTTCTTTTTTGGTTTCCTTAATGTATACTTATCCGTTTTTTGTTTTGAAAATTTTATTCCTAAATAGATGTTTCTTGTCTCTCTGGTCAACCAACAAACAATCCTAAAAATGTAAGAATTCATTTGGATTTTTTAAATTATTAACAACATCAATAATGATGCCATTATTTTTTGAAAAAAATTTCTGACACCTATTTTGAAATCAATTCATGATATCAAATTTTTTTTACTGATTGAAACACTAATTTTTTTCCTAAAAAAGTTCCTATTTACGAAAGCAAACTAAGATTTTTTTTGTTTTTTTTTTGTTTTCGTTGATCCATAGGCTCCAAATCCGTGGCTGAAAAATGTGAACCGACATGAATGTTCTCATTGGGTAAGTTTTAGCTACATTTCCTTATCACATTTTAAACCAAGAAAATGATGACCATCTTAGGACACCTTCCCAGTATAAATCATGCGGAATAATTTTTGTTATAAAAAACTGAAGTTTAAAAATATTTTTATCCATTTTGATTATAAAGTTTTCCTTTCAATGAATTTTAATATGCAATTTTTTTTTCATTTCAGTCATTTAAAATCCTTTTTTAAAGAAAAATTGGCTTAACTAATCCAAGTAAGTATGATTGAAAATGATTTTCATTCTGTATATCAATGGTGACCAAACTTGATGAAAAACAAGCCAAAAAAACAAAAAATGATGACCAACCTTAGGACACCTTCCAAGTCAAAATTATGCGGAATAAAACTCTAATTTTTTCACTGAAATTTTTGTTTGTTTGTTTGTTTTCATCATTTTTGTTTTTCGTTCGTTATTGTTGAGATTTTTTTTACAAATTTTGTTTTTCTCTCTCATTTAGAACATTCGAATTATGGGGAAACCAAAAAAATTTTCTGGTAAGTTTTTTGTGTGTGTTTGACTTGAACTAAAAAATTTGATGAAAATTGAAATGAAAATGATGAGTCTTGGATACGCTATTCAAATATATGCATTTAATGTATATGATTAAATGCATCAATGTCGAAATTCTTGCCCTCTCTGAATTTATATTTTGTTCATATAATTTTTATTACTTTGAAGAGATTATATTATTAATTTTTTTTACTTTAATTTTAGCCAATCAATGAATAATATTATGGACGAATTATTTTGGAAAATTTACGAATCCGATATACAATCAACAAGTCAGTTTGGAATTAAAAGAAGAAAATTTTGAAACTATCGCAGAAGGATATCCAGAAATAATTTGAAGGATTTGATTTTGTCAATATTATTTGAAATGAATAAAAAAATGTTAATTTTTCTAAATAAAATTTTAATTTGCAAAATTATCTAAAAGCGAACTGATTTTTTTTTTTTGGTTTTTGTTAACGAGAAAACATTGATAGTGATATTATAGGAAAGATTTGAAAAATAATGTTTCAATATTCTATATATTTACTGAATTGGTTGAAATTAATTGATTCCATTAAAAAAATTTGAACAATGTATTTTTCGTATAGAAAGAATCATAACAATACATATTTGATTGTTATCGAATTTTAAAAAACGAATTATTTCGATGGAAAAAAAAATTTTTTTTTTTGTTCGAATTCAATTCGTAAAATGTTTGAAATTAAATGTAATAATAACAATAGTGAAAACAAAACATAAAAATCAGAATGAAAATGGATAAAAATGTTTATTTTATTTTTGTTATTTTTGTTGAACAAGAAACCATGAAAACTATTATGCTTTTGAAAATTAGTGTTTTATTTTTCTATTTTATTCGAATGATTGTTGCAAAGGATGATCAAGATAAAAAGTCACTTGATAGAAATATGATACCATATAAATCAGTATATGGTGTACCAAGCAAATGCAAAGGAACTTCCGACCATCAAACGACCGAAGAAAATTATCGAACTTGTCAAATAAATGCCATTGGAAAATGGCAAATAGAATTAGAACATTATGTAAGCT